TAACTTATCCTCGTCACCCTCTCCCTCCGGTCCACATTAATACAAATGACCCCAATACGTATGATTGTATGAACTATGAAAATATCTTAAAATCAATACAAATGTATTTATTATAAACGTTAGTCCTTAATATCTATCACTGTGTATATCACCATTTAAACATCTTTTAAAAGTTGAACAAACTCCACACAGCTCAGTAAAGACTGTGAAATGTTGACTTTATTTGATAATTTCAGTAAAAACTAACGTTCATATTTCTCTTTTTGATTATAATACTGATGAACGTTCAGAACAAAGCACTTTGGCAACTTACCACATATTTTTTAAAATGCTTAATAAGCACCGTAACGTTCATGATATAATAATAATCGGTTGTTTCCGTGAACGACCGACTGTTGAGTGACGGCAAATGCTGCGGCTGCAATGCATTGTGGGGCAGCATTTTCTCCTCTCCTTTCGTCAAGGGAGGTCCAGTGGTTCCTAAGCTAAAGGAGGTTATAAAGGAAATTTGAAACCTCCTTTCCTCTCATTTAGAGAATTGGAACGGCACTTAACATGGCTGCCACTGACGTACTTCCGGTTCATTTCACTTGGTTAGGAAGGTTCCTAAGCTAAATGGACTATTGGAACGCAACCCTGGAATAGAAAATCTCTAATGGAATGTAACAGGAAGTGGCAGATTTATAATTGAGTATTTAGATTTCCTGCTACTCTATACTTCTATTCTACTACATTTATCTGACAGCTTTAGTTACTATATTGTTTTCAAAATCTGATTAAAAATACAAAATATAATCAACAAATTATGAATCATGTATTATTATTATTATTATTATTATTATTATTATTATTATTATAAGGTAATCCACAATTTACAAACCACACTGCAGTGTATTAAGCTGCAATATAAAAGTGAAAAACAAATAAATGCATCATTTATTATAGTTAAAATATAACAGACTATTAAATCTCATTTGGAAATGGGCTGTTGTGCACAATGAATGCTTAGTTTAGGTTAATTACATTCTGATGGCAATACTTTTTTACTTAATGAATTTTCACTGGTAAATTCGTAATGGAGTATTTTTACAATGTTGTATTACTACTTTATCTGAGTACTTTGTCTAAGCCATAGCAGTACCTGAAATCATCTGGAAGGTCTTGGGACATGTCTCCAGCAGGCCAGGTTTAAACTTCCCCGGGACAGTCTCTCTGGAGTTGATGATTTTCACTTTGCCTTTAAAAAGAAAAGAAGAGTTATGATCAATACACTTTGTCCCCAGCGTAGGACACTCATTATTTTTGTTGTATGAATGGATGAGGCTGTTACCAGAGCTGTCCATCACTGTGAATATGGACCCCCCTCCGAGCCCCATGCTCTGCGGGTTGATGATGGAGGTGCACAGCAGCGCAGCAATGGCGCCATCTACCGCTGAGCCCCCTCCCTGAAGCATGTCCCTGAAAGATGTCATACGCATCACAAGTAAAGCCAATGTATTTCCTTTTTGCTAAATGTTGTACCTATTGTCACTATGATACATTTACTTGTACAGTATGAATAGAATAAGTTAAGTTAATTCCCCGTGTTACAGACAGTTTACCTGGTTATATGAATTCTGCAGCTCTTCATAACTTTACCCATAACAGAAGTGTAAAAGGCTACTCACCGTGCAATCTTTGAACATGTTGCCGAGTCTGCGGCCACTGCAGCGGTGGAGAAAGTACCATCTGGACAATCGTGCCTAACAAGTACAGCAACACACACAATAACAGCCACCACGCACAGCATCGCCACTGCACAGCAAGTGTACACCTTTGCTTTTGACCTCGCCATAACTGATGTGATTCTGGACCTCCGCGGGGAGCATTCAAGTCTAATTTCACCTTTACAGGTTAGCCTAACTCCTCTCAGATGTTACAACTTGGTTTTTTTCCAAATTTGGAGCCTATCGGCCCATCAGAAAGGGGTGTTATCAGGGCCTGGCTCCACCCTCCACCCGGATGCAGCCCGAGTGGAGGGGAGAGAACTGTTGAGTCATGCCCTGAGGAGGTTTCACCTCACCCTCTGAACCTGTTATGGCCCTATGTGAGGAAACTCAGGTGGATGGCTTTAGGTGTAATAGTCCTACTAATAGAAACTCAGCCGACAAAATAAAGCAAAGTGAAAACCAAAAGATAACCCCAGACTTTACAGTGAGTGGTTAGCGCCAAAGCTGTAAAATAGTACTCAAATACCTGAATGCTTGTTTTTAGCCACCTTGTAATTTTGAAGCTTAACTTGAGTTTATTTATTGTCTATCAATAATATCAATTTGTAAATAGATTACAATATATTATCATTTAATCCATCCATTTGTAATGTATTTAAATCACCTCCTTTGCCACATGTTATGAACAAACTAATGCATCAATATTTGAATAGGTAGTCTATAGTATTTGTAACCGGGTAGTTCTACACTGTATTAGTACTTTTACTCAAGTAAACATCTTAATACTTTTTTCTACCATTGCAAAAAGGCTTTTACATGTGTGATATATTCTCATAATTGAGTTTTTACGTCGTTTCAATTGTTCTGATTTTTTTAATGATTCCTTTCCTTATCAGCTATGTAGGCAACCAGATAACCAAATGAGACAAGATTTTGTAACACCTGCAGCAACATAACAGCTACTGTCAGTGGAGTAGAAAATGTGCTGCGTTTAAAGCCCTGCCTTTTTATTCAGAAAGAGTTATTATAGCGTACAGAGTTCAATAGCTGGTATTCAGGACTAGTTGGGGCTTGTCAGACTGAAAATCAGCATTACAACTTTGCTATGGTAACGTTGCTTTACTGTATGAGTATTGTTGCTCCAAAGAAACTCCCACTTCATACCTTAAAATTGAAAACCAATGGGAAGAGTCCATCCGTAATTTTCACTTTGCAGTTGGATTATTTTTGTTAAAGATGTTCATGTTGTCGTATAATGTATCAAACATGTTCACTGTCAAAGTACTGATCTATCATTACTGTGAGCAAAACCTAGTCGCGTTGCAATGCATCTTGGGAAATGCTGTCTGCAGTTCAATCAAGCAGTAGTCGAAGGGCGAGCCATGAGGCATACGGAAGAGGGAGGCACTCAATTAAGTCAAATCAGGAGAGATTACCAGAGCAAAACCGGAAATAAGGCAATTTTGGCTTCAAAGTAAATTAGGAAGACATAATCACTAGTCTGTTTAGCAGGGCTGCCAATATTGAAGATTCTTATTGTCATTTTTTGTTTTCATGTGTTTTTTTAATTATTCAATCAATCATTCTGTCTTTTAAGTACAAGTTGTTGCACCATTGCCACAGCAAAGGCCTCGGAAGGGGTGGGCACATGCAGAAATGTTGTTGGGTCTGTTGGGTCTGTCCAACCAGAAAAAAGCTACCTGTCCACCCAGCAAATCATATGAATGCATCTGAAAGGTATTGTCATTTAATAGCATAATTTAACTTTTATTGAATTGTATTAATGTTTGTTTTAATTGTATGTATGTTTCTGTGTAATGTACATTGGGTTAAATTCCAAATGGAGGTGATCTCAGTCTGCAGTTACTACTGAAGCTTGCACAGGAAAATATTGGCACATTTGTAAAATAAGGAGACCAGCAGATTGTTGCATTTGCAGAGCTTTATTGGATGGTTTAATCAGCAGGTAATCTTCTTTTTCAACCAAATGAGTGTACTTTAGATGCGGGGAGGCAGGTGTGAGTAAACAGAACTGTCTTAAATGCAGTTTTACAGCATTGTTTTAAAGGTACAGATATCTATATAACAGCATACTACACTTACCTTTACTCTCTTGTTTCCAACTCTGCAGGTCTGCAGTTAAAAGGAGTCCCAAGGGAAAGAACACCTATTTATCTTATGGGAGGGTTCACAGAATAGAGTTAAGTAGGGGATGTTACATTTATATTAGATTTGTTTGGTAGCTTTGAAATATTGGTTTTTCATGTACTAATTTCAAATAATCAATTAATTACATATTAAGACTGTTGATGTAATGTTAATAATTGTTTGACTATGGCCCCCCTGTTGCACTAAGGGTGGGGCCAATATAAGACTACTCTTTGTGCCATTGTTTGGTGGTCGTGCTGGCATGGTGGCACACATGTATATTATATTTGTAAATAAATGCTGTATCGCTTGACTCCTTACTTAAGATCTGGACCGCTTCATAGGTCAGTCAACACGACTAATACGTGTGAAGCTGACTCATTTGTTATAATTATTTAAATATTAATAAAACGATGTATGTTTTAAACTGTTAATAATTTAACAGAAGCTCATGTCTAATGTACACCATGTCATTTGAAAAGGCACCACTTTTCTTCATTTATTCCATTAAGTGTTAAGCCCCCTTCAAATGCATGTTTTTATAAAACACTGTTAAGGTTTCACACTTGAAAAACTAACATACCAATTTATTCAAACGTGGGTCAACTCTATATTTTGTTCATTCTTATTTAAGAGAAATACTATAGACATTATATAAACCAAAGAGACAAATGGTTCCTGGGCATAGAAGGTACAAATTGAATTATACGTTGAGTTTTATTTTGAAAGGCTTGACCGGAAATAACGCTGCGTGTTCCTCTGGGCGCTTGAGGCTGTGGCTTCCCCTGGTGGAGCTTCAGTATTTACAACAACATTTGTCTGAAGACTTCGCGACGCTGCTGTCCATCACAGACAGACAGACAGGGAGGGAGGGAGTCAACCCATCAGTGAGACAGCTTTTGTATCCTTCCTCTGCTACACGATGGCTGTCGCGTCCAGTTCGGACTTCTTTTCTGCATTTTGGAGACATATTTCCCACAATGTTGGCGAGTGAAATCCGTCTACCTTGTGTACTGCAGTGGTGCGCAGCTTCGCCTGGAGAAACACCTGTACGCCTCTTCTCTCCACTGGCCCCACAGCCATGAATGTTGAATAGGTATGGATACAAGAAACCTGTGCACGAATCAAAGAAAAAAAAACATCTCTAGACAATGTGGTTAGGTTACTGTGTTGAGCTTGTTTTCCACGTCGATTGAACGGTAGAGCCCATCAATGTGTTGGTCATCACTTTATGTGGCATCTTGGCCCTGGTGGTGAGATTGCATGGATACAGTGGATAAACTAGGCAGGGTGTGTGTGGTGTGGTGTGGTGTGGTGTGTGAGGGAGAGAGAGTGTGTGTTTTAGATAATTTCATGGTTGGGTTGGATTGTCAGTCTACCCTAAAAGCATCGGGGGATGTGGGGGCGTCTTGGTGCTGTCTGACAGGATGTAGGGGAGGATATATTGGAGCAGGATTACCCGACCATTTTTGGAGAGAGAGCATCGTGGAGTTCTGATCACAGTTGACGCATTGCACTCCTCGCGTTTGTCTGCTGGTCCATTATTATTATATAATCATGTAATTCAGTCCTAAAAAAAAAAAGAATTAAAGCTACATAGGTTTAAACAGAGCCCCCTCCCTTTTTACCTCCGAGGATCCATTTATACAGCTCCTGCTGAGCAACCTATGAATGCCAATTATACTGTACATGTGGGTGGGTTTTAAGTTTACATAATTCACTGTGTAGTGTGGGCTTCTGTATGCGTGGTGCACACAAATGTTAAATGGATATTTCTGTGTTAAATGCAGCAATGTGCCAATGACTCATGGTTTTTTATACAGGAGTGTGTGAATACCAAATTGTGCCCAAAGTGTGTGTGTGTTTGTGTGTGAACGGGGTGCAGTCATTTTGAAGTCCACAGTGTGTGGGTGAGTTTCAGCAGGTGTGTTGCATACAGGATGCCCAAACTCTGAGGAGGAAGACACAAAGCAAATTCTTACGATCCCTCATTCTGCATGCCAACTCATTAACAGTTAATAGGATACATCATATCAATTCCAGCGTTTCCCCCAATGCCAATTACAGTATCCTCCTCTCTCGCTCATCATCCCTCTGTCTCTGCCTCTGTCTTTTTGTTTTTCAGGCAACCGATTACCCCTAAGGCGCGGCGTCTGTCTGCATTTATCTAAGAGAAAGAAGCAGAGAGGGAGCAGCACAAATACCGCACAGCCAGACATCATGCAAGGTGAATCCTTCCCTCGCTGCAGAGTGCTGAAATGTTAGGACTGAAGAGCAAGAGTGTCAGATCGAATCAGCTGACTGTTTACCGTAGGGGGGGCAATAAGAGCTGCTTGACACTATACTCACTAACGCCCTGTGTGTGGTTTAATGCCCCTTTCAATCACAATCAAGAAAAGACGTGTTAACTGATCTTTCATCAGCACTTTTCCAGCCAACGTCAGGTTTAGCAATCCGAGCCGAGATGGAGTGGTCACTGGAGAACGTGAGAGAGATGGTGGCTGGAGGCATGCAGTCCATAAGGGAGTGTGAGATCTGTGCTTTTGCCATAGCCATGTGTGTGCTGCTGCTGTTTATGTGGTACTGTTACAGGGTGGGCCGCGAGCACGGCTCCAGCCCCTTGCGTGGGAGGTATCTGTCTGGGCCCAGTCGGATCGGAGGAGTGGTGGGGGGCTTCATGAGTTCAGACTGCCGAAACAGGGGCAAAGGGAAGCAGGGGTCGATGCTGGAGGAGCAGAACGGCTTCGCTTTCTGCCAGTCGTCAGACTGCTTCCGATGCACCAGCGCTGGAGAGAGTCTGAACCAGAAGCTCTATCACAGCCTGCAGGACTACGCCAAACGCTACACCTGGTCAGGAATGGGCAGGGTGCACAAAGGTGTCCGTGATCAAGGCCGATACCTAAACAGCCGACCCACCATCCAGCGGCCAGAGGTGTTCTTTCTCCCAGACCTCCCCTCAGCCCCGTTCTTTTCCAGAGAAGTGCAGAGACATGACGTGGAGCTGCTGGAGCAGAGCTTCCCCGCCCTCATGGCCGAGTTTGAGAGCATCTACCACCAGCCCCCGGCCCGCAGCGGCTCCTCCCTGCCACCAGGGTGGAAATCCAACAACACCCCACGTGGGCAGTGGTGGACCTACTACCTGGTCAACCAAGGCACCCCCCTGGTTCTCAACGTGAGGAGGTGTCCGCGGGCCTGGAGGGTGCTGGGCCAGCTGCGCACCTTCATCGCCAACAACGTGTTCGGAAACGCCTGCTTCTCCGTGCTGACTCCTGGAGCGTTGATCACCGAGCATTACGGTCCAACAAACGTCCGGCTGCGCTGCCACCTGGGTGAGAGAGAGATCTGTTTACTCGTTCAACCATGTGCTGTGAGGGGGTCTTTAACTACAGAGGAGGGGTGACCCAGCTGTTGTAGTGTTAAGGCTGAACATGTGGATCCTCTTGGGTCATAACGGCTGAAATGTAGTGGCTAATGTGATTGTTTTTATAATTTCGATTGCACCTGAGATTTGATTCTATTTACAAATGCACCCTGTGAGATGGCTATAAATATTGATGCTTATTCTTAAAGAAAGAGACTTAGTAGGATGATTTTAAAAACGTAATAATACGGGACGCTCTTAGCAAAGAGCATTTTTCCTGGGATAAGTCACCTGGGAGATACCAAATTAGGTGTTGAAGGAACATTTCTCAAATTGTTTAAATTCAATTTTTGTATTTAAAGTTAATGCTATACTGTTATCTTAAAGGTGGGGTATGTAAGTTTGAGAAACCAGCTCGAGTGCGCTAGAATTTGAAAATACACAACCGGAACAAATCTGCCACGTCCTTACAGAGCCCCTCCTCCAACACACACGAACGCGCACATGACCAATGAGGGCACAAGAGATAAATGTGTGCACAGATGGAAGGCTGACAGGCAGGTAGGCCATCCAGTTATTTTAGCCGGGCTGGCTAAAATGATTCGTCGTGCTTTTTACAGTACCCACGGATGACATTTTTTTATGTATTTATTGTCAAAGCACTTAAGATATTCATTGCTATCGAGATGTTAAGAGCATTCCATGGAATATAACAAAAAGTGTATCTTGAGCCGGTTTCTCAAACTTACCTACCCCACCTTTAACTTTCAACATTTATTTAATTTTTGCTTGTCCAACAACAGAACCACAATTTAAATGAAGGTTTTCCACCCCAATCAGATTTTCCTCGAGCACATCAATAAAGCTAAACTACTAGCCTCTTCAGATCTAGATTTCAGGTACAACTAGATTGAGACTTACAAAACATGAATGTGTGTAAATTAATAATAGGAATTATTCATATTCATTCCAATTTTCCCTAAACTTCTGCCTGCAAAATACAAACTGGTGTTACATTTTGTTTATATGGTTGTAAAAAAAGTCTTAAATCTAACTAATTGAAACATTGAGAAACTAAGTTTGCTGTCCCATAATGACACATGGATTGACCTTTATTTTCCTCCTCTGGCAGGTCTCAGAGTGCCCCCCTCCTGCGAGCTGGTGGTTGGTGGAGAGCCGCAGTGCTGGTCTGAGGGCAGCTGCCTGCTATTCGATGACTCCTTCCTCCACAGGGCCTTCCACGAGGGTAAGAAGGGATTAAAAACATAATCTTTTATTGGATCCTGTCCATTTTTTATTTCCTTCTTCATAAAGGATTGCCCTAAAAACGGTATTATCAGCAAAGTGAATTGAGAGCCTTTTTAATATGAGTTTGACAGGGTTTTATATCAAAGATCATCACAAAATTCTTGTTTTTCCTGTGTGTGCAGGCGGTGCAGAGGACGGCCCCCGGGTGGTCTTCATGGTGGACCTCTGGCACCCTAATGTGGCCGCTGCTGAGAGACAAGCCTTGGACTACATTTTTACTCCAGGTCGCTTAGAGGACAAAGAAGGGAAATAGGTGTGAGTGAGAAACCGTGTCTGACCGAGAGACAGATGGCGTTTTAGGGAGGTGTCTGTAGGATTGGGGAGCATCTCTTTTTCTGCCTCCAGACCAGCTCTCACATCCACTGTGTACATATTCTCCGTGTCCTATCTCATAACTCTCTTAGCAGAAGACCAAACATTGGGCCTCTTTTATCATTCATGTTTTTGCCTGTATAATAAAAGGCAGCCACAATTGAAAGTAGCTTTTTTGCTAAACTTAGCAGGAGCACGATTGTTCATGGAGCCATCTAAATAACATGGCAGGGACCTTTTGAATCTTTGAATGTTAACGCATTTGCATATAGATGAATGCTGTGACTGAACAGTTTATCAAATCTGTTCTGGACCCTCTTTACCCATATAGGATTATTTGTAAATCTCAAATTAGTTTAATTTCTGCTTGAAACTGTTCAACAGTAACGAGCAAAGTACATTACAGATTTGATAAATGGCTCAAAGCAAGCCAAACAATAACCGTCACCATCTTACACTTCTGCTTTACAGTATGTATGGAGCCATAAGGCCACATATTCTGAATGAACTGAAGTCATCGAGTTAGCATTTATGGGTCCGGAGTTATCCCAACTTGTTGGTGGTATTACTTTGCACTTAACATTGATTGCTTTACACTTACTGTTACACCTATATCTTTGCAAGGGCTAAACATTTGATCGTTAGACTTTTTATATTACTCAACACATCCGTTCACACTTAAGATGCATTGTTTTTTTCACACAAATACGGTTGTCAGTGAGGTTACACATTTTTCTTTACTGTTACATACTTTTTAACTGTTTTCATGATGAGAGGGTAATTCTCTTCGTGGTAAAATAGTGACATTTTCAGTGATAGTAGTGCCTATGTACATCAACTAAAATAAGTGAAGCTAAAGCAAAGCCATCATTGCTACATTGCTGGATGACTTAAAGCCTCCTGTTCAAACTATTGTCATAAACACGTTAAGCCATATAACAGGGAGGTGTAGCTTTCCTAAAACTGATTAATGGTAAAATAAGCAAATGCAGTGTCATTCTGTAAATGTCCGTTTAATCACATACAGGATGCACCATTGGGGCTCTAAATCAAATGTGTATACTCAAACAAAAGAAATGCAGAACCTGCTATTTCATTGGGATTTGGTTACCTAAAGAAAGTTATCATTTTTGTAATCATCTATTCTATTCATATGTGCTTTGATAGATATTTGATAACTGAGGTCCAATGTTGATGATGTCATGAATGTTTACAGACGCAGCTAATGTCTTTGTCCTGACTTCTGCCGATGTGGTAGTTTATGGTTTATTGTGCTCCCCTTTGAAAAAATCAATCCTGCTTACTAAAGAGTCGGTTAGAAAAGCACATTTTTAGGTCAAATTGTGTGAGTCGGCCTGTGCTGGATAAGAAGCGTTTTTGGTAAATTTACTAAACTCTTGTAATTTGGTTGTATTTGATATCAGGTTTGTATTTCTGTAAATAGGGTTGAGGTAAAAAAAAAAAAATGAGCGGTCTGAGATGATTTGAGATGATTGTCTTCAATGCTATAACTATTGTGTTGTCTTTATTTACAGCTACAGCGAATGCATTTCATTCTCCGTTCTCAAAAAGCCAGCCATGAGTCAATTTTGATTACATTTGTAGATTCTGTAAAATGTTTATGAAGTACTATCTCTGTTGTTCTGTGAAGTATTTTTTTTTAAAACCACTTCTGCACATTTGCAGGAGTTGTGCGCCATAGTTAAAGCCACAATCCTTAATTCTTCAACAGCACTTCATGAATATATGTGCACTAAAGGTAGAGAAAATTAATTTTCAGCTTTACAGGTCCATAGCAATTCAAGATACCCATCTATTAAAATGTAATGTTTACAAAAAGATTTACACGCTGTTTACACGACGCCGACACTCACATTGAGCTGTCCATAATTAGGTTTAAAATCAACAGTGCTGTTTATCAAGAGTATGAAAAAGGTCATTCCCAAAGCATTTGCTTTACAAATATAGTGTATGATGGGGCAGCCATTTTGTTTACATTAGAATTAAGGATTTGTCCTCCAACACGTTCTTGTGTGGATTTTGAACAGTATTTCTGTACATTTAATAAATGGTTGAGTCTCTTATTTAACCAGCTGGTGTCACATGTGTCACTTTTACACAGACTTCTTTTGATCAGAGAAGTCACATGGCTTGAACTCGAGAGACACATTTGATGACTTTAGACCTGACTCGACTAAACCGAAAAAGACTTGAAACTCGACCAGTGCCATCAATGACTGGTAACTTCACTTGGAAGTGAGCCTTTTGACTTAAAGGTGACCTATCATGCAAAATGCACCTTTGTACGTCTTAGATACATGAATATGTGTCCTCGGTGTTCCAGGGAACTCACCAAGTGTCAGAAAACACAACCCTCTCTATTTTCCTCCATACCCAAATCTCTAAATACGGGGCTGCAACGGATCTGATACAGACTGATCCAGATTTGAACAATTCTGTGACGTCACAGAAGTGGCGCTATGGCTATTGGGCCAACTCCACCAATCAGGAGGAGACAGCCACGGTTCGAAAGCGCTGGAGACGCTGTAGTACATATGCCTGGCCTGTAGATGGTGCTGTTCTCACAGAATCAGCCCATAAAAAGACAGTGTTAAATTGAGCGAAATGAGGAATGGCTAAAATGCATGATCTGTTTGGTATTTTGAAAAATAAAAAGTATAAATATGCCTTATATAGGTATGGTCCTACACTATATTATTCAAATATAGCATGATAGGTCCACTTTAAATACTCATAACCTTCACCTCACTCAAACCCAAAAACTCAATTGTTTGTACTGTATATGCCACGAGTCGATTAACTTACTTTCATTTCCTAAATCTCCCTTCTCCTTCCCAGCAAGTCGACACTTCATTCCTTAGATCCACATCCAATCAAGGTGCAGTAGAGAAAAACTAACGCTACGTTACTGAGCTCCAATTGGAAAAAGTGTATACTAAAATTATTTCTTTTGAGTACAAGAACGACATGCTGGTAATCAAAAAAAACATTACGAATTAATTGAAACTTCCTCAAGTATAGGACTCAGGACTGGACTTAGCTCCTATTGGTGTTGACATAAGAGTTAAAAGTCTTGATTAGTGACTTGACCTAAGAAGTAATTGCAAAAATGTGAGCCTTTCTTGGGACTTGCAGAACAATGACTCGGTCCCACCTCTGCATGTTCTGCTGAATCGACCATTTCATTAATTAAAATAACTGCTGCAACACTAAATAGGAAATACTGATTTCAATACACTGCAGGACCAATGTTGGAGATTATTGCCTTCTGCAGAATTGGGACTCTGGTAGTGATAAGACACCTAATGGGAAAACCAGGGGACAAATAGATCGTTTTGTCTTATTTCACTCAGATGCCGTTTTAAATAGGTGGCATAGGGAGGCGAATGCAATGATGTTGTCGCTGCTCTGATTCCACAGCAATTATTTCTTGTCAGACTCCCTCTGGAGAATTTGAAGCCAGAAGCATTCAAATGCTGTGGCAATATTACATGATGTGAAGGAGAGACACCACAACATGGGAAAAGATTTTTAACGAATGGATATCACCATAAAAAACTCTAGTGGACTACAACTTTTTCTAAAAAAATATTTTTTAGAAAAAATAAATATACATTATGACACATTATGTTATTAAGTAACTAAATACATTCACATGTAAGAGTCAAAGGTTACCTATCGGGCAAATCACTCGGATAGTATTTAAAAATAACTCATTTTGAACATGCATACATGTTGCAAGACAGAACAGGGTAATGAAAAAATAACAAAAAGATGTACGGTTCAGTTTTTTAAAAGTTGACATGCAAATTAGGCAATATCTAATTCGATATTTTCTTTTCACTAGTCTGAAAGAACACATTTTAAGGCAGCAAAATAACCCAACCTCTCCAAATGATTTGTTTTTTCTAGTGTCTCTCTTTAAATAAATATAGTTTCTTCATCACTCATACATTTTGGTTTCATGGGTTCATAAAGAATACATGGTTTATTAGGCATTACACCTGCTTGTACTGAAAAGGATGCTGAATACAAGTCTGCATCCCTCACTGAGAAAATCTTTGCCTCTGCTGATCTAATTTGAGTTTAAAGATGTTCAAGTGTTGCGCCATCTGTAGGCCTGTAACGTCGGTGGATAGAGGCACATGCTGATCTGAGGTTGATTCCAATAATAGAAAGCCTTTACTGCTCGTATTTATAAAATGCATGTTTTATGGGAACATAATTGTTTTTGTTTCAGTGTCACAGCTCTTTAATTATTAAAGAAGGTAATAGTAGTTATTGTTACAATACTGCTCAGGATATTAAACACAGCAGCAGTGTAAGTGAAGCTCGTTTGAGAGAGAGCAGGACTGTAGCATTGTGCGAGGGGATAACAATATGAAGCGCATACAAGTATAGTATGCTCAAGGGTTATCCTTTGAGCAGTATGCTCTGACATCACTACATTTTTTCATAAACTTCTGTATAATCTGACTTATTTTTGCAACCGGAGGCGTCGCCCCCTCCTGGCCATAAGAAAGCATAAAGATTTAAGGCACTAGGCCAGGTTGCCACTTGACTTTTTCACAATCTTGAGGCCCTGTCATACAGGATGCCCTGTTTCAACAATATTATGCCCAAATAATGCATAACTTTGAACGCATTTGTGTTAAAGCAAAGGATCACAGAGACTAAGTTACCTGAGTGATTTCAGTGTATAACTAATGGTTGGTATGTATGGGGGTATGGGGAACCATGCCTCATTTTTGCACTGAGGCCCCAGAGCAGGTTAATCTGGCTCTCGATAGACACAATACGGTTTACATTAAATGTTGTCCACTGGGAGAGCAAAGCCAACAGAACACACTTTATGTTTAAAAGCTTCACTCACATTTTGCTGCCATATCCTTAGCAATATATCATTAATGGCTTTACATATGAATTCATTATGAGCGGGAATTGTAGTATTTCTAGGATGTTGTCTCCACACCCAGAATTATACATTTTGCATAATGTGAATCACCCCTATAGCAACAATACGTGTGCTTTGGAATATCTGGTTGGTCTGCCTTTGTCATGGGAAAGTTAGCTCACCTCTGATAGGTGTATATCTCACTATACATCCACACCCACGTCATTGCCAGGATGCCAGGGACCAGCATTCACATCAATGAAAGGGTGACGCGCTGCAGCGACGTGTGTGCCCCTCTGTGTGCGCGCGCTGCCGCACAGCAATCAGGTGGTGAGATGTATCCTAACTTCACGCGGGCAGGCTCTGGCTGCTGTGCTATTATGGGTCGACAATGGAGAGGAATCGGTGCATGATATCGACGATCAACCCACAGAGACAGACTAGAGCAGATCTGCAGCAATGAGCGCCTCCTTTCCAAAATCGGAATCCACCACCTCCTTACTGAAGTCCTCCTCTGCGGCGAAGAAACCGACACACCTCCCTGAACGCGCGGCAGAGAGCCGGAGAGGTCACCATCAGCAGCATCAGCACCAGCATCAACACCAGCATCACCACCGTCCCGCCACGCTCAACAGCAGCAGCAGCAAAGCTGAGGAGTCTTTCCTTTCGGCCGAGTGCGAAATCAGTGCCCGGAGACCCCTGTGCCACCCCTCCCTCATCGGCAGCCCGGACAGTGGTAACGATGCAGCCACTCGGGGGAAGTGTAAGTCCCACAGCCACCACAGCCAAGTTCCCGACTCTCCGGAGCAAAACGGTGTGAAGGAGCACTGCAGGTCATCCAAGCCCACACACCGGCACCACCACCGCAGGAAGCAGCACCGGGACGACCTTCCACCGGCTGCAACCGCACCGCCTGAAGCTGAGCATCCCCGGCGCTCTCACACGCACATACGCACGGTCCCCAGGGTGCCCTCTCTGTCGGACAGCAACGATGACCGGGCTTCCCTCTATGAGCCGAGGAACCATAAAGGGGTCAGCGTGGCTATTATCGGGGCTCAGATCAGCAGTCGGTCCCCGTCTTCCTGCTCCCTGGCGCCGCTCTCCAGCAGGTCCTCCCGCCACTCCCGGAGGTCAAGTGCTGCTTCTTCTGCATCCGATATACATTTACGCACTATCCTCAATTCACTGTTTGGACAGGTAAGACCATAACATGTATATATGCAAATGACTGGATCAGTAAATAGCTTTTTTTTATGAATTCTATTAACTCTATTATTGTTCAAATGTCTTTTGTACGTTTGTGAAGTGCAAGGATGCTCCTGGACATTGAGGCCCAAAAAGATAAAGTCGCATCCTAAACCAGAAACCCAATGTGTGGTTAACTTCATAGTTAATTCACCACCATTTGAATGAATTAACAAATATGTCTCAGGCATATCTAAAAATAAAACGCATTAAAGTCCCTTAGTCTTGCCGTGCAGAAATAGTGCTTTGTTATAAGCATTTCTAGAAAAGTGCACACAGAAATAAAGTGGTTAAGTGTGGCCTCAGGCTACACTGACGTCCTGTTTACAATCAATATACGTTAATGTGCTCTGTGATGCAGTCTGCAAACACTGTCATTACCGGACAGACTGGGCAGGGAAAAGCTTCTTCTACACATCCATTTATTATGTAACTGGTAAATACAGCACCACCTACAGACCCTCTCAATCAGGCAGGCCTTTCTTATTGAAGTGGATGTTCTGGAACAGAGGAAATCTAGAGAGGTGGAAATTTCTCAATATGCTAATGTATTTGGTCAAAGGCAAAGATATATTCCAGTTCCTGCGTCATTCAATCATAAAACACTGCAGAGATCGGCGCGGTGTTTGAAGATAAACACTGTAATGTCTGTCGGTGATGGAGGCTCTATATTGAGCCTTAAATGTATTCTCCCAAAGAAAAGAGCTCCGCTTAATGATTCTTAGTGTGATTTGCATCATTGTCGGCTTACCAAGCTAAATCTGTCAAAGCAATCAGTTTTAGTTTTACATTGCAAATCCTCACAAAGCTCTGCGTTGCTGATTAAACTCCTGATAATTTGTTGTTTATTTGGACTTCTTTCCAAGTCACTTCCTTAGAAGTGACTTCCTTAGAAGTGACTGGGAAAGAAGTCAGAGCTTAGTTCTTGCCATGTAGGGTGTTTGTATTTTAATCTGATCTCAAATCAGGAAGTGATTTAAATTAGGAAGCACTCAGCCATGAAATTGACTCAGCATGGCAACACAGAGATCATCCTTTGTGGCTTCGAGAGAAAAAAACTCTAGTACTTATAGTATAAAAAACGATTCTACAAATAACCTGTGAGTCAGTCCGCGGGCAGCTCTGTGAAAACATTAGTGTGACCTCAAAAAGGTTATTTGATGAGACGATGAGCTAGATGGAGTTCAATAACAGGCATGGTGGTTGGAGAGATGCATGCACTATCTTTGGCATGTTGTATGAAACGATGCAATTAAAAGTAAAGTGTTTTCTTTCTTTTTTTCGACAAGCCTTAATGGAAATGAACAGATTGTCAGCAGGAATGAGAATTGTCTGAAGCCATTCATGAAGAGAAACATCCTCACCAGTGTTCTGTGTAGAGAAAAGGATAACCTCATTCTCTGTGTTCTAATTTTCTGTAGATATATACATGTAGCTGTAAATTATAGATGGACTGTATTCTTCACACATTCACAGTCTTAATGTATTTTTCTTCGGTTCCACGTTGCTGCTTTAGGTCAAGGTGACCTTGGCTATGCCTGCAGAGGGCAGAGGATGATGTGTGGGGGTGTAAGAGTAGAAAGACAAAAGCGCATACAGAAATAGTGCAACATATCAATTGAAATGCAACCTCAAGGCTGCAAACTGGCGTATTATAGTCAATTACTTGAAGGTGCAGGTGAAGAGCCTAGAAACACATCCTTACAGGGTCTTCTTGTAAACCTGCATGGTACTGAAAAAACAAACATCTCTCAATTTGTTTGTGTGACCATGAAACAAATATCACTTGCTTGTAATACTATATTCTCCTGCAGGAAAGCAGACACCCTTTACCCCATTTCTCTTGTTTATTCTCATGTCAAGTGCCTGTGAATCCGTGCTGTCTGCGTCTGTGTTTGGTCGGTGTGACAGCTGGGTGAAATATCTTAAAGACAGTGGATCACCTTCTTTTCCTTTAATAGGCATAATTCTGTTTCCCTTCTTGGCCCACTTCCCTCTCATTTAGTTTCTCACCCACACTCTTACTTCTCTCTCGCTCTCTCACTGTATCATTGGCTGCTCTTACTATTGCTAAAGTCACTCTCTCCACATAGTACAGTGCAGTTCACAGTTTTTTCAACGAGCTGTAAGTTAGCACCCACGTCTTCATGGGTCTTGCGCTTGTTTGCACTTCTTCCAAAATCCAAACGGCAAACTTAACAGAGAAAAGGTCCTCATGGTCCTTTTTAGTCCCTCTTTTCTCCTCTGGAATGGGAAACTGCTTAGACTGGCCTCTGAGAACGGTAAGATTGTTTTTTTGTAGTGTGATGCCCTTTAACAATTTGACTTTCTCAATTTGTTTGGTTGGTTTAGAAATTGAAACTTGTGAAGTAAACTGGACAGTAGTGCAGTATTTTTATGTATTTCTTCACAGCTGTTGCATTTGCTCTTTCTGCTCAAAAGTCAGATATCATTTTGCAAAAACCCTGGAAGATATGTGTATGTTTCTGTTTTTAAATGATATCCTTACAGAGTGTTTTTCTGTGATATCTTGACAAAAACAAGTATGTGTCCTGATTAGAGCAGACTTAGTTTAAGAGTTAGACGTTTATAATATCCTCACTGTTTAATGTTGGTATTTGAAATAAAATGTAATTATGAACCGAAGGTTAATCTGCACTGGTGGTATAATAGTTGGCTCTAGAGTGCATTGTGATAAAACAAGATAGATTAGTGGCTTAGACTTTGGCAGAACTTTGATGTGCAACAAGAACTATTTTCCAGAAAACAAGTAGTGTATATCCCACGGGACAAAATGTGTCCTGATGTCTACAAAGCATAATAAGTTATGTGATTACAACATCTGCAGCCTGTTCCCTGGGGCTTTAGCTTGTCTTTCCTCTGCTTCTGAGTATGTTTACTGTTCTTGTGACAGTGTATACCTGTGAAGTGCCAGTCCCTACAACGTGCCGAGTAAACAGTTATGAATGATGAGTGGAAAGTTGGCAGCATGCTGTTTTATTGATGCGTTTAGCCTTTCGAGAGATAGAGAGAGTGATTGACTTTCACATGTCCTATATCTTTATTGCATTGTGGTGTGAAGCTGCTCAGATCTCTAACACTGTCTCTGCGCCCCTCTGGAAAAGATGCTCCAGGATGCTGAGAGGAGGTTCAGAGGGGTGCTGTCCTGTGAGGATATGGGCCAGGCAGTGTTTCTGGGGCCTTATCAGGAGTCCATTGTTTCCATGACACAAAACTGCGTTCTGGTGAGCAACATACGGTTGCAAACCTTTGTCTTCCTGAGTAAAGGAGTGGCCACGTGCAGGCAGCCTGTACGTAAGTCTCGACAAACCTTTTTTAATCTGTCTGTTTGTACATCAGCATTATATCTAACTTGGATCCTATCTTTACCACACTCATGCCACAACAACTATTCATTCCAGGGTGTAAACCCTTTCAATTCCTTTCTATCATAATTTCCTACTTTTTCCACTACTGCTGCTGCTGATTGGTATCTTGTCATATTTCAGTAGGGAAAACAAGGGTTTGGGAAATGACTGAGCCTGAAAGCTGACGACTATCTAAAGGAGTGTTAAGGGGTTTGTGCATAAATATAAGGCCTTGTTTACTTTCTTGCCAAGAGTTAGATAAGAAGATTGATTTCACTCTCATGTCTGACAGTTGAATTAAATTGAAGCCAGCTGTAGGTTAGCTTGAACAACAAGGCATATGTGTTGTTTTAAAGGGGAGTTACATCATCATTTCTGACGTGCACATCCAAAATGATATGGCGTGTTTACTATTTGATTTTTGAAAAGGCTGATTTTGTAACTGTCCGACAAAGTTATGCTGTTTTCCTTGTTTCTACAGTATTTGTATGCTAAGCTAAGTTAACCTGCTGCTGGCCAGAGTTTCTTGTTCACCTTGGAGATATGAACGTGGTATAAATACCCTTTCAACTCTCAGCATAAGCAAATAGTTACAACCCAATCTGCATTGCTCATTTGTCTTTTTGTCCACACTTTAATAAGATTTCTGATCACTCAGTCTAGTGATAGGTAAACTGCACGAAAAGACCAAGCTGGCTTAATGTTTTATATTTCATGTTTCATGAAAACTGTAATACAATGGAAGCCCCATTAGTTAAGTGATGAGGCCTGGAGCATGTCGATGTAAGAGATGAGGGTTGATGAACTGACAGTGATGGAGTGACAAATGAAAGCGTTGATGGAGCACACATGTTGGATCGGCTGCCCAAGTATCCATTTGCTCATGTACCTTCGATGTTTTCTGTAACAGTGTTTCCGGTCAGACAATTCTTTGAAACCTGACGTCAACACTCAGTGTTGTGTTTAGACTTATTGTGCTCCTGCTGTTAACCCCTGAGGGCTCTGGGATATGTCTGCTTCTCTCTCTGCCCTTTAAAGGTTGTGTTCCTCGTAAGCAAGCACTTGAAAAAGAAACAGTCACATTCTTCTGTGAATAGGGATCAAACTATTCATGTTTATCATCAAGATGTGAGCTCAGACTACTGTTAACACCTTTTACCGTAAGGCGTCTGGAGAAGAGGGTTGTTATGGAGAAGCTCGCTGATTTAGGTTCGGGTGTTACTCAAGTAACAGCATTGCCGACGGTATATTTGGATGCAGCTCATAGACAAGTTTTGTTTGTTATGATATGTGATCATGATGAATGCTTTTGGTTTTGTACTGACCAATTATTAAATGTCATTTCTCAATAGGACAGAGAGCTGAGACCGGAGGAAATGGATGGCAAGTTTACCTTTTTTAATTTGTATTTCTTTAACAAAATGTATTTTAAGAGGATTAAATACCACGTTTTTCAAAGTTATTTTCAAAACCAACTCTGAAGTGAAATAAATAAAGGAATACACAACGTATTTAAAATGACTGCACTACAACTCAAACGCTAATAATATTTCTGTTGTTGTTCTACAGAGTTGCGGGATGCTTTCAAGGAGTTCGACAAGAATAAGGATGGTTTTATCAGCTGTAAAGATCTTGGAAACTGTATGAGAACCATGGGATACATGCCGACTGAAATGGAGCTCATTGAGCTGAGTCAACAGATAAACATGAACTGTAAGTCTGAATTGTGTATTATTATGTAAAGCATATCATTGTGTATTGTGGTTCTGAAACTGTACCGAATACTTTTCTCTTTTTAAGTGGGAGGTCATGTGGATTTTGAGGATTTTGTAGAGTTGATGGGCCCAAAACTCCTCGCCGAAACTGCAGACATGATTGGAATAAAAGAGTTAAAAGAAGCTTTTAGAGAGGTAAGAGTCTTAATTGATGTCATGTTGGGATGTTTTTTTTTACTATTTTCCATTTCTAAAGTTGTTTCTTTTTGTTCTCAGTTTGACACCAATGGAGATGGGGCCATAAGCACATCTGAGCTCCGAGATGCAATGAGGAAGTTGTTAGGCCAACAAGTAAGGTTAAGATGTGAAAGAGAAAAAATACCTCTACAGTATATCATTACTGCATGAATACCCATTGTTTGAGGTGCTGTGCTAAATGCTCCCAACATTTGTTCCTAGGTGGGACTAAAAGAGGTAGAAGATATCCTGAGAGATGTTGACCTTAATGGTGATGGGCTGGTTGACTTTGAAGGTAAATCCGCTTTAACAAACTATTAATTTATATTTAACCCCAAAATACAAATACACATTTTCCCTCCTTCCTGCAGTGCTTTTAATTACTCTGTATTTTTTTAGTGAGCTGTTGAGTGTTGAAGATATTGATTTGTTTGTGGTGCTCAACACGCCAAAATATGCTTTAAAAGAAACTCAACAGCAGTGTATTTTTTACAGAAATCATGATGCTGTTATTCAGGATAATCCGCAGACCTTTTGGGACCATGTAGGAACTTAATAGACAATCCAGGAAGTCTTGCTAAATATGAAGTGGTGCAGACAGCCTCCAAACCATCTTCGGGGCTAGTGATCAGTGTTTCACTGAGTCTATACATGTTGGTAGTTAGATAATAGAATAATACATTTATTTTACCTTAGGATAGTGTGCCTTTTTTCCCACTGTTGTATACACCACTTAAGATTAGGCAACCTTTCCTGGATCATGTTTTTGGACCTGCACTTGCCTTTATAAAGAGCACATGGAAGAAAGCAGTGTGTGCATCTACTCATGCAGAGGCACATGCTTTTTGGCTCATATAGTTAGGTTACTCTGCAACTTACAAAACAATCTATATTCAAAAGTGACAACAGTTAATAAAGAAATTTAAGGAAGAATCGTCCCTTCAGGGTATGCTGCAGAGTTCACTGCAACCGTTCATTTTTATAATTGTACTCTTCTCTCCTCACAGAGTTTGTACGAATGATGTCTCGCTAAAATCAGAATATGATCGGTGCTGAATGTGAAGCTCCGTCCTTGTCTATAATTGACCAAGTACACCAGAGGACATGCTATGATCTCTGAGCCATCCTAATCTGAATGACACTGGAATTAAAACTCCTTGAATGTTAAGGAGTGAGGAGTCGCCTCACACTTTCAATCAATAAGTGTTCTTCCTGAAAAGTCTTAAGTTCAACTGAGGCCGAATTTGCTGTAGCCTAGATGATGAATGTCCGACTTGTGTTTTTGCACTTTAATTCTCACTAAATAACTTCCTGTGGATATATTGCTGGTGTCTTGTCTCATCTTCTATGTGGTCAAAAAAAGTGTTGCAAAATGTCGCCTTCAATGTACAATAGTCTGAATGTAAGAGGGGATTCCTGTAGAGAGGATGTCAAAAATATGTGCATTGTTCAACAGTACGTTTTCACACAGTATTTGTTTCATTATAAATTGTAAGCGGAATGTCCTTTGTGACATCGGTGCTCCAACAGGAACCCATGTGGCAATATAACACCTGTGTTGTAACTGTATGATCATCTGTGATTTTTCACTGTGCCTGTATAGTCATCACTGTCTGAAAACTACAGAAGCAGATCTCTAATACAAAACCATAAATTACATGTAATATTGTATTTGCTTCAACCTTAGATCAATGGCAGTTAAAACTAATTTTCTAAGTTACAGAGCTCTGGTTTGCAGCATCCTTTGTCTTTCAATGCTCAGAGGTTGAACATTGCTTTGAACCTGGCTTTGGGGGCAAGTAAAAATCCATATTGCCCTGGTCTGCGAGCATACAGTTGGAATGACATATGTGAATTGTATTTACAGTGGATGTGATTATGTTGTTGCTGCTGTAATGTACGTCGATGTATTTGTGGAAACGTTCCACACCTTTGTGTTGTTGAAGCCATTTTTATGCATGCCAAAGAGATACATTTATTAAATTCAGTATGCACATTTGCATTTTTGTCTAACAAAGTAAGCAAAATATTTTGCCAAGTTAACTGTAAAAATAAATAAAAGGTGTTTACATTTAAGAGGCTTTTTTCTGTGGTGATGTAATCTCTACTATTTTATTAAGGCTATGTCAAATGTCAGTATGTTAGTAATGCACTGTGCACTGTCACTGCATGTCTTGGGGATAAACCTCTTTACAACATCTATTATTCATATAGGTCTCTTAGACTGCTGGTTGGAAAAGCTTTACCTGCAGAACCACTGTGCAAGCCATTAGATCAGAATAACTGTGCTGTGTCTCTGTGTGACCTTTGACTCGTTTGTTTTATACCGTAAACATATAAGTAACATAAGTAACTCATATTGCTAAAAGCATATTCATTAGGTTATATTTGTATGCATTCATTTGGCAGTATTGATGAAAAAACCTTAATACAACACCCACATGTACAGAGGAATAATTAGTGGGCCTAGTAGCCTATGTAGGAAAAAAGAGGAGATTGTTGCAGGCACAGCAACACCCACGATACAACTGCACTAGGCTTCCCCTGGGCCACTTGTTTTAAGCAGAACAAGTGTTGCAAGCAGCAGCAAAACGCTGCCAGGAACTATTATTTGCACATTATGCTAAAGTAGGCCAATGTTACTTTGTAGAAAATGTCCTAACTTTGAAGTTTCTGTAATGCAAATGTATTGCAACATTTTAATCAAATGGAACTAATTTAACTGTAGCCTACAAGATTATACAAATGTTTACCAAGATAAAACCTCACGGAAACACCTGTCATGTGTGGCGGTGTGGTGATCGTATAAAATGCTCGGTTTGCTGACAACGCCACCTGGGGGAGTTTCGCCACCAGGAAATTACTAAAACTAAAGTTATCCAATTTAATAAAATGAAATCAGGTTCATTTGAACACCACAGGCAGAGACAGTGTAAAGGATATTACCACAATGGTTATTTTATTTATACATAATTGCATTTCTAATAATAAGCAATATAATTTTCTAAAAGTTCTCCAGGGAGAAGGGAGAAGGACAGTGCTGGGGCTTACCAAGGCGGCAATTAACAAAACGGGGAGGAAGGGGTCAAATCAAAATCACCCGTGACACTGCACACCAAACAAAACGGACACGTGAAGAACACCACCACCAGGGATTTGGGTTTGCCGCCTCGAGCCCACAGCACCTGTCCGGCACAAGAGAAACAGTTAATAATCAGCAAGATTATAAAACTCGGTTGGAGAAAGATAAACAAAAAGGAAAACAACTAAAATAAACCTAATCTAAATAAACGTAAACGACAAAAATGAGTAAACTATTAAACCAAACGTTAACAAAAGAAAATAAACAAAATCACACAATTAACAAAATAAATACTATAAATGTACTCAAAACATTAGATGCACAAAACAAACAGATAATCAAAAGGAATCAACTAAAACAATAAGTGTCCTTGCTATTCCGTGATCTCAAAACGGCCCTGGTGACAGTCCAACCCAGAGTAGTCAGGGCCTGTCAATTCTATGACGCTGGGGGAGGACAAATTGAGGCTTAAAAATATGAGATAATCTTCAGTGTGGTTAGCTATGAATCTTCCAAAACTTCCAAATACCTTGTCCTGGACATAGTTTCTACAGTATAAACTGTGCAACAGTACAGTAGGCCCACACAAACTGCAGAACACTGGTGCTTTGGGAACACTCAAATTATTTAATTCCCATTTAAAATCAGGAGACTAAATACGAACATTATTGTTACGATTTGGGAAAGGTAGGACCCAAAAGCAGACTACAAAAAGGTAAAAGGTCTATAAACAAAAAGCGAGCTTTATTTAAAAAAGCCGATCAGCAAAACAACATGGCAAGGATGGTACATAGGTAACACGAGGAAGATAACATACCAAAAAACGATCGTGACCAACATGAAGGGAGACAGGAAAAACAAACAATGAACCGACAGGGGAACACAGAAAGAGACAAGACTAAATACAGGGAGGGGTAATCACGAGACGAGAAACAGCCGGGCAGGGGAGGCAGAAACACAAGGGCAACAGGTGAACACAATTAGACAATCAGACACACCAGGGAAACTAACGACAGGGAGGAAAACACAGGGAGAAGCACCAGACAAGACACAAGGAGGAAAACATGAAACAGGGAGAACAGACCCGCAAAATAAACCCAAACCTAGACATACAAAACAA